CAATCACAGTTCGCCATTTTACCGGAAGTTATGCTTGCCATATAATAAATGGAGTATAATTGCTATTGTTCAGGTAACCAGATCATTGTTTTCTATTCCATTGTGAATGGAAACAAGCACAATCGTTTAATTACCGAAACCTTTGATTGCTAAGAAAATAGAATGTACCTTACCTGCTGAGCTACAGAGGAGTTTTGCGAAATTGGTATGAAATACACTCTCACTTTAAAATCCTCATTTGGTTGATGAAGGCTCGTATGGTATGCTGCTACACTGAAATTCCTGGCAGATCCTTTTCCAGCAATTGTGTACCAAGAGAAATGAAGAAGATATAGGCTGAAATGTTGCTCTCCCATGCCACAAAATACATCTTCGTTGGGTTCCTCGTCGACATTGAAAACTTTTTTCCAGTCTGGGACAATCTCCGGCGCTGTATCGCTGCAAAGAACTATCAGATAAAATTTAATAAACAAAAATATATTAAAAATAAGACAAATTACTGTTTTGATAGGCAACCACAGTAAAATCAAAGTAGAAGTAGCAGACCTTTCATGGATACCTTTTTATAACAAATTGATAGTTTTCCTTTTAGGTTTTTTATATGTCAAATAGTCGTAATAGTTCAAACACAAGATATGGGACTTTACCGGGATTTCAAAGTTCGAGTGCGTTTTGAAAAGACGAGCCGCAGTCCAGTCTAAGGGCAGGTTTCTAGTATTATCATGCGAGCAAAATAAAGCAATATAGTTGAATGAGAATTATTAATGAGTTTGAGATGGCCTGGTAACGTACGAATTAAGTCACGTATTTGAACAAACTTCCTAAACTTTGTAATTCACGTCGTTTCAAAAGTACTAGTTATACTTCGAAATTAAGTAATTTCTGAATTCACAGTATTAATACTTTAGAAAGTTTCAAAGTGTCCCGTTGGACGTTTTCCTCCACTAAGTAAATATTGATTTCGTTTCTTTTTGATCATGAATTATTAATGATTTTAGAAGAGTTTTTTCAAAAACATTTACTTTTTGCTATATGCTGTACTACGTCAATTTGCCAGCCAAAACATTCAATATCTCTGTTTTAAGAATAAAATATGCATATAGACATAATTTTTAAAAGCATTGCGAAATAAATAAGTCTTTCCATCACAAAACGAATCGTTGAAAATCGATCCGGGGCCAGTTGTTCAAAGTTGGGTTAGCTTAGCCCTCGGTTAATCTAAAATTCAAAGCGAATTACCTGATAGCTTGTCTATAAATTTGGAAATATTTCTTCAGAGATTTTATCTGGATCGATACGAGTTTACTTCTCTGAAGTTTTGAAATAAACCAAACGTGCAGAAATACACTTTAACTAAAAGGGCAGGCGCTAGCGCTAACCCACCTTTGAACAACCGGCCGCAGGAAGATAAATAATCACATAATTCGAGGCACGATTAAAATTCAAACCTCGAAAGCTCGTATCCAATTCATCAGAAACTACATCACAATGTGGTACGATTAGCAGAACGTGTTTCTTGAACCGCAGTCCATGTGGGCCGCACATCACAACTGGAGTGAGCAAGGTTTCATCATCATCCAATTCTTTTGGGACGTACTCTGAGTTGCCAAGCAAAGCAAGGTAAACTACTTCTGTTTTTTCAATATCGATTGCTCCTTCCGGAATAACCAGCTTAATTCCTGTGTTCGCTAAGATAACTTCACCACCATTATGATCAATCAAAGAACTTGCAAAATACCTGTAAAAGATATTTAAGTAATTTTGAGGAAATCAATAATATAAATCCATATAGCGTACTAGGTACATCATGGTGCGTGAAGCAATCCTATATCCAACGTCGTGTGAGACATGAGCGGCGGCTCACATGAAAGGGCTCACATGACATTGAGGCTCACATGAAAGGAATCGAGAATTGATATGCTGTAAAAACCATTGACTTGGACTAATCATGTACGGTTGAAGGTCGGCTAACGAGCATATTTTGGGTACGAGATTACGACTAAGGCAGAACATTGGTGGAAGACCATAAGCAAGTCTGAGCAAAAAGCTGTCGTAGCACTAGTGCATGGGTAAATATCAGGATTTTGGGCATCTGAACTGGGAAAACTAAATGTTGAAAGGTTTTTGTGGATAAAAATTCCAAGTATAAATTCATTACATTTTTAGACCCGTCCAGAAACGGCTGCGAAAATTGTATCAATATTACAGGTCTTCTAGCAGGAATCGAACATGCATTAAAAATTTAGTTTCTATTTCTTAAAAAATTCAAAATATATGAGAAAAGGTAGACGAAAAATATCCCTTGTTAACATATATTTCGACCAATAAATAGTATCAATTAAAAGTATCAGATTAATGCGCTAGCTTTATGCAACATTTGTCCTATGAGGCTATATTTAGAAATTTGCCACAAAAGGTATCGCTTGTTGCATCGTTTATTTCAAACAAGCTATGAAGCACAAATTATTTATCATTATATTAAACAAGTTTATATTAAATTTTCATGTGAAAAAGTATACTTGTAATTCGCATCGGGCTAAAAATTTAATATATAAATACCTTTTATCTGCATTTGGAGGAATTGTAATCATTTTATTCAATAACTCTGAAGTATTGGAGATCGTAGGAGATGAGTTCGGTGATCTTCCAAGATTTGTGGCAAAAACATCGCTACTGTAATCGCTGGTGGTATCCACTCTTAACTCAGTATTAGTCGGCTGATTAAGATGAAAAAATGTACATGGTCCAGCAAAAATATCGTCGGTATCTTCAATTGAAGAGGAACAACACTGCGAAGACACTGAGGGGGTTGACGAAATCGACTTCGCTGAGTGCATTAATAATACCTCATCTATTTTGGAAGATATTGGATTGACAACGACAGTAACATCTGAACTTTGATTATTGGAATATGATAGCAACCGTTCCTCAGAAGGAATGAAAGCTTCTGTAGGGCGTTGGTAATTGCTAAAATTAGAGTTTTCAGGAATCTTTATAATTTCTCTAGCAATTAGTCCCTGCGGCACTTCATCCAAATTAACAAGTTTATCATCAATTGAATCATCATGTGTTTCAGCAGGTTTGTTACGATTACCACACTGTACCACTGGCCAGAAAGTACAATGTGTGTTGCAGGTTGTAACCAGTGTCGAATGTTGAATATTTTTGTCTAGTACATAAAAGCACAAATTAGATTAGAGCAGACACAATCGGTTTCATTTGTTTTTAAACTTTACGCTCATTTTTTTATTTACATAAAATCAATAAAGTTTACGATGTAGAGTAATGATGCGCATTATATCAATTTCCAATCGTACAAATTTTATTAATTCCTCGGTAATTCAAGTAACAGAGAAGTCTGTGTTAAATATCTCTTTTAGCCAAATGCGATTATCAATGTTGAGAGATGTATTGCAACTAGTTCAAGGACGTATGGTTGCACTTTTTGACGTATGGTTGCAATTTTTGCAGTTGGCCCTGGCTAGGTGTAATAAATGTATTTCAAACATTGGCAAATCATGTCAACCATAATATGTCACGAAGAGGCTTTATACCTGATAAACCTCACCTTCATTTAGTATTCTTTATATAAATATCCATCCTAATAGATCTTTCCCCTTTTAAATTAAGTGAAGTTTTAAATCAGATGATCATCTGATTATCAATTTCCCGTTTGTAATACCAAATGACTGAAAATCGGCAAACTTCGCAAGGCTAGATTATCCGCATTTTACAACATTTCGCAACGAAACATCGGAATATTACTAATTTTGTGATGCTCTTTCAAACTGTGATGAAATTTTTGTCCAGACTTGTCTAGATCAAAATTTAACTTAAAAGGGGAAAGGTCTATTAGGATGGATGTTTATATAAAGAATACTAAATGAAGATGAGGTTTATCAGGTATAAAGCCTCTTCGTGACATATTATGGTTGACATGATTTGCCAATGTTTGAAATACATTTATTACACCTAACCAGGACGAAAAGGGGAAAGGTCTATTAGTATTCTTTATAAAGAATATTAATGAGACGGCATCTATTCAGAGCCATCTATTGTAGTCGTGTTTGAAGCTCTTCAAAACAATTGTAGTCGTGTTTTATCATATCTAAAATGCTCGTGCTGCGCACTCGCATTTTAAATATGATAAAACACTCCAGCTGTTATATTCAAGCGAGTGAGATGCCAACAAAATCTTGATATTGATGGAGAAAGTATAATTCAATCGTTGAAATAAAACACAGAAAAGCTTCTTACCAGTTGATAAAGATCTCTTCCGCTTGCATTTCCAAATAAACGATGATGCAAACAAAATCAAGAAAATCATGCTAATACATAAAACGGCCACGAATACACCTGCAAAAAATAAAATCTCTTTTTGCAATAAATAAAATTTATTAATTATTAAATAGCGAATTTTCCACGCATCTGAAAGGTTTTTAGTAAATAAAAGTTATGTGTAATCACTATATTCGTGATATTCAGTTTTAGACTATATAAATTCTTAAAATCACTCAAAATGCAACAGGACGTTCATTTGCTTCAGAAAGATGATAACCTGAATATTTATCACCAAAAAGTGATTGAAAAGCTCATAAACGAAACTATTCGTATATTATAGATGATCAAAAGGAAAAATATTTGGCCCAAAAATTTTAAAGGTCATAATAAAACTGTACCCTCAAATTACTTACTAATTAAAAAAAACTACAATTATTTTAAGCTATTATGTACTGATTCAATGTGAAATCTGGAGATTCGGAGGAAAGGTTTAAAGACCATGTAAAGTCCGTTCTGCGCACATGTTCTGCGCAGGCCTACATTCCAATGGTTGGGACCCGCCCATTGGAATGTTATTAATATTTCACACCTTCCGAACTTTCTTGAATTGAATCTCCAGTCTGTATTCATTCACAAGCGTAGCGAACCAGGAGAGTGTTAAAAATTCAATATAATATATATCTAATCATATTTTACATTATTTTACAACTGTAGCACTCAGTTCAAAATGTATACGTAAACAAAGCGTTTGTTCACATTACGGACTTTACGTCGCCTTTGAAAAGCGGGTAAAACAATACAAATTACATACCTTTAAATTGGTTTCCTCCTTTATTTTGTTTCTCGTTTTCTTCTGCTTCTTCTAGAATCAGACAAAATTCGTTATATAAATATATTTAGTATAATTATATAGGTGATTATTGAAAATTCTCCATGCTGATTGGTTGCCGTTGAGGTGATTATTACGCGATAATCACGTAAGCGATTTTCAAACTGGCGGACGAAGCCGTTTTGTCAATTAAATGACGAAGAAACATGTATTTTTTTATTTTTTTTCCTAATAATCACCTATGAAATTATACTAAAACAATTATTCACCTCAGGTTTGGTGATTATCGTTAATAAAAACCTCGACTTCGTCTCGGTTTTTATTCACCGATAATCACCTCGATCGCCTTCGGCGAATAATTGTTAAATACAAGTTGAAATAATTTCCAGACCGCGCGCATGCACTCTCCTCCACAGAGTCTGAATTATATAGGATTTGTAGGGATAGTAGAGGATATTTAGTGGTGCGCGACGGGGGGGGGAGATCGATGGTTGACAAAATGTAACTGAATTATATAGGATTTGTAGGGATAGTAGAGGATATTTAGTGGTGCGCGACGGGGGGTGAGATCGATGGTTGACAAACGTCTTCCCATCATACCTTGCGTAATTTGTCCCCCCCCCCTTAATATTACGCAATTTTAGTGGCGCGCATGCAAGCAGAAAGATATTGCCTGCCGCGGCTGGGTTTTGAACCCGCGACCTTCGAAATACTAGATCGACGCTCTACCAACTTGAGCTACAAGACAGATTTAAGACTGGACATTGTGAACTATATGTCATAAACATACTCGTTTATATTAATTTAGCATCGAACAATACTAGTTCTGCAAGTGTTATGTCACAGTATAGGAAAAGTACAGTAGGGCCACTCAGCGTAAAAAAGTGTCTACATTGTTTACTGGCTGCCAACCTAATTTACATATTGGCAGCCAGAAATGGCAGCAGTCCACTATAAAATTGTACTACAGAATAATGATTTTGGCCGCGTAAGACACCTGGAACCTAGCTTAAATAATTGCCACTTTTCTCTCCCCTAAGTGGCCCTACTGGTTGTCTCCCTATACTGTGGTTATGTTGTGTTATTGTTCAATCCGTAACATGATAATTTCAGAATCATCCTCAGAGATACGAAAAACTAGTTTCATATTATTTTGACACTGCAATCGACCAACGAAAAATTCGTTGGCTCGAGCGGGATTTGAACTCGCATGTTCAGGTATCTAGACCGCCGCTCTACCCATTGAGCTATCGAGTCAACGGGGATTGGTAGCGAGTCTTATCCAATTTAAGTGCACGAAATATTTTCCCGAAGATGCGAGTTCAAATCCCAATCGAGCCAACCTATACCCGAAGATGCAAGTTCAAATCCCGCTCGTGCCAACGAATTTTTCGTTGGTCGATTGCAGTGTCAGAATAATATGAAACTAGTAACATGATAAGTTGAAAATGTTCCCGAGTAAATGCACACTCGAAAACATTTTCAACTTATCATATTAATGCAGTGAACAATAACACAACATAACATAACACTTACAGAACTAGTATTGTTCTATACTGAATTAATATAAACGAATATGTTTATGACATTTAGTATATAGTTCATAATTTCCAGTCTTAAATTCGTCTGACAGTGTAGCTCAGCTGATATAGAGCGTCGATCTAGTTTTTCGAAGATGACGGGTTCAAAACCCAGCCGCGGCAGGCAATATCTTTCTGCCTGCGCGCGGACTAGAAATTATGAAATACTCACTCGAGAACATTTTCAACTTATCATAATACGGAGTGAACAATAACACGACACTATATTTCAAACACTCATTAATAATTCATAAGCTCATTGACAAATCATGTCAACCATAATAATATATGTCACGTGCAGTGGCTTTAAACCTGATAAAACACTCCTAATTAAACTCGCGGGTCGTGTTTTATTAGGTCTACTTAACAAAACACTCCCGCCCGTTTATTAAACAGTACGTTTATCAAACAGTACGGAATTTTCAAAATAATGCCTATAGGGTGTATAAAAAAAACCCGAACAGATTTGAAATTGCTCTCAATTTCGCAAAACACCTATTTGTATCCGGTTTTTTATATATATAGCTTCTTTGGGTACTTATAATGTCGAATAATGAAAAAAATTTCTCGAACTCAAATTTTGTGAACCAGGGGGATGTGTCTTTTCCAAGAAACTAAAAATAGCTCGCGCACAAAATTTCAAAGCCGTAATCATATTTTGAGTTAATAGATGGAAAATTTGTCGGGTTTTTAATTACTGTACAAAATTTCAGACAATTTGGTTTTGTTTAAGCCCTTTAACTATTCACTTTGTTCTAAAAAATTAGCCTTTCGCATGCTTAATTAATGCCTTTACCTAATTTGCATATTGCTGACATATACAAATTAGGCAAATGCATTAATTAAGCATGCAAATAGCTAATTTTTAGGGAAAATGTAAGTTTGCGTGAATAGTTAAGGGGCTTAAACTAAACCAAATTGTCTGAAATTTTGTACAATAATTAAAAACCCGACAAATTTTTCATCTATTAACTCATAATATGATTACGGCTTTTACATTTTGTGCGCGAGCCACTTTTAATTTTTTTGGAAAAGACACACCCCCCTGGTTCACAAAATTTGAGTTTGCGAAATTTTTTTCATTGTTCTACATTTTAAGTACCCAAAGAAGCTATATATATAAAAAAACAGATACAAATAGGTGTTTTGCGAAATTGAGAGCAATTTCAAATCTGTTCAGTTTTTTTTATACACCCTTGCACGGACAGACTTTTTAGGGAGATGAAAGAAAAAGAACTTATCAATATACTGAATCCGGATCTGAACGCTAATTAAAAAACCATATATATATATATATATATATATATATATATATATATATATATATATATATATAATATATATATATATATATATATATATATATATATATATATATATATATATATATATATAAATATATATATATATATATATATATATATATATACTGAAGACTATATTCAAAAAAATAGTCGATGAGTTGACGTAAGGTAGAAGAGCGCTCAATACCATAATAAGTATCAGAGCGAATGTTTGCGTAAAGCGTGAAACTCAGAGTAGCGACGCAAACAGTTCAGCTTGACGAAAATATATATATATATATATATATATATATATATATATATATATATATATATATATATATATATATATATATATATATATATATATATATATATATATTTATAATATAGCATTTGTAAATTCTGAACGCTGATTGGCTAAGAGCCGTGTTGATATAACTCAATGTCAACACGGGAAATTTTCCGCTGCTTGTAAACACGGAAATTTTTCTTATCCTTCGGGCTTTTGACATTGCTATATTATAAAAAAAATATAAAACATTTTTTCCGTATTGATATATAGTTATATCAACACTCGTGGAAGTTGGGAAAACTCGAAATTGTATGAAAACACTCCGCCCTTCGGGCGTCGTGTTTCCATACAATTTCTCGTTTTCCCAATTCCACTCGTGTTGATATAACTGTATATCAACACGGAAAATGTTTTATATTTGTTAAATATTAACCAATGCATGCGTCCAAAGCGGAAGCATGCATATATTGGTTAAAAAAACATGGCCATAACCACGTTTTAACGAATTTTGAAGGTTCGAGAAATCAGATAATCTGACAGCTTTCAGCTCGCTCATGAATTATTGATCGGTTTGACTGTGGAAAACATTGTGGTTAATCCGGCACGTACACAAAGTTTGTCGGGCTTAAGGGATCAAGAGTACTATTTTCACTTTATTAATCAACATTGTATTACAAAGGGTCAGAAAAGGTGAAATGATACATCAATGCATGCAATAAAATTAGTTTTATTTTTACTGAAGCCGGTAAAGCATATTGACTATTGCATTTAACTTGTGATAATTTCGCGTACCTTTGTTATCAATCATTTCACTTGCATTCCTTGTGAAGTATGCTCCTACAACGGATGAAAAATCAAATCATAAAAATCCACCACCCAAAAGCAACGACAATACCAAAAACAACAACAATTTTTATTTATAGCTGTAGCAACAAATAATGGTGATTCCGCGATAGCATGAATTACACGATCGAGGCAATTTTCTTTGATTTTCGTGTAGATTAAAATACGTGTCCCTGAATTAACTGGAGTTATAATTATATAGATAAGATACAAACTTTTTAAGGGAAACCTGCATACGCTTACTTCTAATTAAGGCCCTATATGGGGAAGGTAAGCACACGCTTACCAGTAAGCTTAACTTATAATCTTAAGGCTTGTTTACACTTGCAATTTTTGCTGCGATTTTCTTCTTCTGATGGATGTGAACGAGTGGATGAGTTATGAATGTTCAGATTAGGGTACACGTGCATCAGAAGGAGAACATCGAACAAGATATATAATATCTTGTAGTTACATAATTATTACTAAAATTTCAACTATACTTATACAATATTTATTATTCATGGCAAATAATTCAAGAGTTTTGATTGGCTAAGAGCTGTCGGTGAAATCGTCATATCCGCTCGGTTGACGCACAGTTATTAACTGTGGTTAACGTAATTTCGTGGTATTCCGAACACTATATATTGTTGTTGTTCCATTTTCAGCAGCTTGGCGTCTTCTTCAGTCAGGAATGTTTACAAATAAATAATAAAACAACTATTGAATTCGGTTCTCGCGGGATATGACACAATGCTCCTCAGCCTTGCCGGTGTCAGTAAAACTCCAACCTCGTCCCCATGCTCCATTAGACAGTTTTAGATAACACGACGCGACGTCAAAGAGGACACGAGATTACGCAACATGGCGTGTATTTTGTTATTTTTACTTCCGGTTAAAAATCGCGACGTCGTCTTTGTTGATTTCACGACGTGAAACCTCACGAAGACGCCACTTTTTTGTGGATTTTAGAAATTATATTTTAGTTTAAAGGTAAGTTTTATTGTTTGTAATACTTTTAGACATAGGGAATTTTTGTTTAAAAACTTAAATGATCCTTTGAAAGTAATTTTTAAACGCTAAAGCTAGTTTGTTTTGCTGCTATATTTTTAGGGAAAAAACTACATGACTACAACATTGTAACTTGGTTTTGTAAGCATGTTTGTCAGTTCTTAGTTTGAGATTATGGAGCTTGAGATTTTGGAAAAAGTTATTTTTATATTATGGCAACAATAATAACTTCCCCTTAACTTACAGATCTAAGAAAAAACATACAATCTTTTATTTTTTGCTTTACATATAACATAAAAATATCACAAAAATATAATATCCAATTATCCATCTAAAAACTATTATAGATGAATGATATATACAGTACAGTACCTATGAAAAATAAAAGATGTGATATATATTTTATTTTACTTCAGCATAGTATGAAGAGTGAGCTGCTGGTAACAGAGACAAAGAAAAAGTAAGAAATTTTGAACAGGCAATTCTAATGCTGTAATTTTATGGAGAGTAGTTTTTATATTGACTGATCACTAGTATATTAAAATGTAATACAAAGTGGGTGGGTAGATGATATGAGGGCACAAGGCACATTCCGGCCCAGACATACAGTATCAACACAATCATCCCTTTTCATAACAAGTAAAATCTGTCTGGTATTAGGCAGAGAAGAAGCATTATAAAGAAGTGATGTAATAAACCCATGTAAACTATGTAATATTAATAATATTACAAAATTAGGGCATGAGTGGTGCTTTAAACTTCTTTACATATTTAAAATTGTAGGGATGTGGTAATAGTGTGGAATGAGAAAAATGATCTCATCATGTTGCGTGAAGTCGCTGCAGACGGGTTACTTCAACACAAGGCTGGGTCTCGAGAGAGAGGAGCCGGAT